TTGGGTTTAAGGTGTATTCTGCATTGTGCGTTTGTGCTTATTGCCCACCTTCCTACACATTTACTCTCCATACGATTCCCTTCTACGGCTCAATAAAAACCTTTAGCAAATGTTCCAAATTTATTAATCTATATATATATAATTACTAGCTGATGTAATTAATAAAATTTATTTTTATTTTTCTACAGAAGGAGGTACATTTTTTTAATTAATTATTCATTAATTTGCTAAAATCGTTACACCTTAATATATATTAATTATTTATTTTTTGAAATTAATTCTAAATTTGGTAGCAAAATATTCAAATGTGTAACGGCTAATGTTGGAACTTAAAGTTGATTGGCACATTCAGAGCTATAACCGCTATATTTGGTTGCATTGTTGGAAGAAAAAAAAATGATTGGGACATTTTTTTTCTAAAAATCAGAAACACCAATATTTTTTTTATTTATGTTAATTTTCTTAATATATGCCACAAATATATAAATTATTTTATTCATGTTATTAATGTAAACGTTGCATGGTTAAAATAAAATTTTGATCTCAATTAATTTTGAATGATAAAAATAACTTAAGAAAAAGTATAATTTTTATATGATAGAAGTACATGCCTAATTAATAAATACAAATACAAACGTGTTTTATATATGTGCAAATGCACATGATCAAATACTAGTTTTATTTGCAAACACACGAGAAATGCAGTTAAGCAATATGAATATATTATCTATAATTAAGATGGATTTAATGGGATTAATTACCTAATTTAATAGAATTTTGTTTTCCCCACTCATGCACTCTCTCTCTCCCTCTTCTTCTTCTTCTTCTACAATTTTTACGCTTTATTTTTCTCTTCCCCTACAATTGATTTTTTTTTTTTTTTTTCGAGCGGTTGAGATTTAAAGTCGGGTCGAGGTTCTTGGGATTGAGTTTTGAAGTTGGGTCGTCCAGGCCCGATTCGCCATCATCCGGCATATGCGTCCTCGATTTCTTCAGGCTCCGGCGGTGAAATCGTGCTGGATCCGCCACCGTGTTCGGCGGGTAGAAATCGCCGAAAATCACAGTTATACCACCGTTCTCATTAGTCTGATGAGCGATTGTCAAATTATGGATGTTTTTATTTCTTGCGTTTTATTTTTAATTTAATCACTTGAGTCGGAGATGCGGTGGCTTCTTTTTTTTATCAATGCGGTTGTTTTTTTAAGAGACAACGATGGACTCCCGCGGCTGCACGTCCCTCCCCTCCTCCTTCCAAGCGGGGAGGTCAAGTTAGAGATGACGAAGGCGAGACCCGAAGCTCGGGCTCGTGGAGATGTCGACAATATATGTTGCGTGTATATATAGTATATTTTTAGTATATATTTTCGTCGGCCCGTGCTTCATGTGTTTCTCATTTGGCTTGTGTTTCATTTCATTTGATAGACTTCTGATTCTTTGATTTCGTCAGAAGATTTTGGATTTTATTTGGGATCGTCATGTTGTGATCCATGGGGTTTTGAGTTTGCATTAAAGGAATATAATCGTTGTATATTAACTGATGCATCTGGTTTTCATCGATAGTGTGTTCTATTGTTTGTTTCCCACACACCTCTGTTGTTATGAGTAGTTTATGATACGTATATAATTCACAATTTTATTCTGGTTCTGTTACGATATATCACTTTTTCATTACCATTAATATTTTTATGCCTTTTCCATTCTTAAACCCATTTTTATTTAATTGATTGACATTTCTTTTTCAAGCTACTGACCTTTGTATTTGTATGATATACTCTACGTATACTAAAATGGTTTATTAGAACAATTATTACAATTGTGGTTAGATAAAAATGTATTTAAATAAAATAATGAAACATATACTCAATATTATTGACTATAAACGCAATATACTGAACCAAAATATAAACATCACAATTGTAGTTAGATAAAAATATTATGTAAATAAAAAACGCATCAGGTCATATACTGAACCAAAATTTAAACATCACAATTGTGGTTAGATAAAAATGTTATTTAAATAAAAACGCAGTATATGCTGAATATAAACACAATATATACTGTCCATTCAAAATACCCGAGAGCTGAAAAAACTTTACTTACTATAAATGAAACGTATATTTCATTGTAGCTGCAATGTTTATGAAACACAACATATAGTCGTGGGAAGATGATGTGGAAAAAGCTTCGTGTTCCCGTCACACCTATATATTTTAAAGATGATTTAGTTTGAAATTCAAATTTCTTATCTTTTATTGTGTAGTGAAACAACATCCTATATTGTAGGAGATATAACTTTCCCATATATAATCATTTCTTTTTTTTATTTTTGTTTAATCGAAAATTCCCATAACCTGCGTAATTTAAGGGGGAGGCGATTATATTTTATTTTGTAACTGAAAATCCCATAATCTGATGCATCTTTACAATTAATTGGCATAGAATTTGCAAAGATGCAAATAAGGTTTGCGGCATCCTAAAATTACAATTATTTCTATATCACACGGTTAAAATGAAAATTCGCCAAAAATTTAGTTAACGTGCAATATGGTCGAAAATATTAGGCCTTTCATAATCAATAAAGTTCGTCCCATAAATTAAATTCAATACAGCAAGCTTGGCCCATTAGTTTAATTCAGTGGACCGACCCATGAGTTCAATACAGAGCCCAGCCCAATAAACAAGCCTGAACTGTTTCAAATTCAAACAAAAAAGCACACACAGTTCCTTTCTCTTCACTTCCAGCGCGCTCAAACGGAACATTTGCGTCGGATCATTTTCAGAATAAGAAGGTACAACCGTACAATCTTACTTATTTTATTGTGATTTATTCCGCCATTGTTGAAACTTCACTTATTCTGTTTACTCCTATATTTTTTCCCCCCTCATTTCCATTCCATGTATTTTTCTCGTTTAATTATTTGTAATTATTTCTCGAAGCTTTGGATGGGAATTGACTCTGTTTTTTACTGGTAAATCTGATTTTATTATTTATTTTGTGTGTATCTATTCCACCATTGTTGAGGTCTCGAAGATTTACGCCTTCTGTATTTATTTTCTCGTGTCATTATTTGTAATTATTTACTGAAGCTTTGGTAGGAAATTGACTTCTTTTTTTGTACCAATAAATCTGATTCCATCATGGGTTGACAAGGAGATGCGGAAAAAAAGGAGAAATTAAAAAATTTCGTGAATCGTGAGCATTTTTTTTTCAATAACGAGGATGGAGAATTAGGGCTCTGTTCCAGACAGAATTTATCAGCATCGTGTGTTTAGTTTCCCCATTTTTTCGTCATTCTCGTAGATTTTTAGCTTGATATGGGTCCCTCAAGATTATCATATTGAAGTATGGTTCGCTTTCTGTTGACACTGTTTCCAATTAAGTATGCCATTTGTTCGCTTTGTAACGAGGTTTCATTTTTGCAGTTTCCTGGTGTTGAAGAAATATGGAAAGACCTCTCACTTTTAAGCCACTTAGCATCCAGGATGAGAATTCTGCCGTTCATCGTAAAAGTAATAAACAGATTCTCCATTTTGACGCTTTTTTCTCTTCTTTTTATTTATTCTTCCTGCAAAATGGGTTGTTTGGAAACTGTAGATGTTACTTATCTGTCATGCAATTCTTTTCCTTGGCAAGATAAGATAACTAACCTGTTTCAGTTGTTTCTTGTACTCGATTTCGAGTTGGCAGGATAGAAATTTGAAAATCCTCAGACATGCAATGCTTATAATATTTTTAAGTTGCTTTTGTTTTCTTATATTGCAGAGGGTGCAGTTGATGGTAAATCAAAGACCTCCAAGGCTGCTGTTGACAAGGGTGGAGTTGCACTTAAAAGCCGTAAAGCTCTGAATGACATCACAAACAAGTCGTGCATTAATGTTGAAGCATCCTCTCTAAAGAATAGCACTCAAAATATAAAGCCGAATACTTTGGAAGACAGATCTTTGAACCACCATGTTTCTGGAGCTGAAAATTTGTCTAAGAAAAAGATTTCTGTTAGTGAGAAACTTAACGTTGCTGAAGAGGGTTTCTTGCACGACCACAATAAATGCATTGAAGCACAAAAGAACGGGCAGGACCTTAATTTCTGGGACACGGTTCTTCCTGGACATGGTAAATTTCTTCAAATCTGTATATCTTTATTCGCCTCACATTGTAATTCAGTAATTCACTTCATTTCTTAGCAAGGCCAGGCCAGATTCTACAAATCTAATACAGTTGATTCTTGAGTAAGTTATGAGTAATATTTTGTTAGACATGAAGAACAAACAGTATGTTTACCGAAAGAAAAGGAACAGTTGTGTTTCTTTGTTGTATAGTTTTGTTGACAGTCATAATTGCAAAGGTCATCAGTATAGTATGATCATCCGCATTTGTATGTATTGCGTCCATCGGAGGAATTATTTGCAACCAAATTTGGTCATCAGAAGTATGCCCACAAACTATGGGATATTGTTTTCCAGGTGTTTTGTTTTTTTCTTTTTTTTTTTGGTAAATCAAAAACTCATTGGAGGGACTGTTTCATGATATGCTATCTTATAATGTTTCTTGTGTTTGCAAGCAAATACCACCAAAAACCATCCATTTTCATACATGAGCTATATCTATTGCACATAACAATCTGTAACAATCTGCTTTCTCTGTGCAGATTCTGCAGACTTGATAATACAAGAAGAAAAGGTGCGTGAATGTGTCCGTTAAAACATTTATTGCATGTAGCATATATAGGAAATAGGACCAGGTGAGATCTTGAATTCTAATTCAGCTTTGTGTTATCTTTTTCCAGATTGAGGCTTATGATATGTGCTGTCATCCTGAATTGGAGGAGCTATCCATGTTGGACTTTTCTGATTGGTTCGAGGCTCATTGGAAATCGCCTCCGTCTTCACCAATATGCTCGGATTCAAGGCCCTCTTTTATCTCATGGGAGCTCGAGCAATTTGAATTAACTCTCAAGGAAGAAAACAGTATGTGATATCTTATGGTCATTTTAATTGCACAACAAACATATTGTAACATGGATTGTGGCATTGGCATGCCAAGAAGTTTCTGTATCTATAAATTGCAGTGTGTTGTATAACCTCACATTGTAGTAGTTCTAGCCTGATATTAATACCAACTAGCTATCATATCAATGGCTATGCCAAGTTTTTCATTTTCATCATCATTTTCTTAGAAAAATATGTCATGTCTTTCCATTTTTATCGCTTCTCCTATAGAACCTTGCTGCTCACGAAATGCCAGATTCGGGTAAAAACACTCAGAACAAGGTCCTCGTGTTACTCATTGAATGCCAGATTCAGATAAAAAAACATCCAGATCACAGAATGATACTGTTAATGACTGGAAACTCATTTTTATTCTCAAGTGTATGTATGATATGAAATTTATAGCTAGCTGTATCTCGAACAAATGTGCCAGTATGTAGAAATTCCCGGAGACAAATTCCCTGCTTGCAAGCCGTAAGAGTTTCTCAAATAACAAAACTTTTATGAATCCTTCTTCCACAGCTGTTACAAATGAGTCCAGCTACCTTCTATTATCATAGACCATCACACGAATTACAATAGACATGTTATTAAATGAAGAAAGACAACGCCAGTCTCTTCCACAGTGTATTTCATCTGGGAGCAACTTCACAAAAGCAGAAAACTTTAAAAAAACCCACGCATAAAAAGTCCAAGCAAAAAAAAAGTTGATATAATAACATCTAATCATGTGATTCAGTTCATCTACTTTCGTCAATCCCGACTGAAATTTTTACCCAATAGCACACAAGCACAAAAGAGACTAGTAATTTTTCCCGCAATGTATCAAGCTTCCAGCTCCAAGGAAAAGTCCAAATACAGCTGCACTACCCAGTGTTGTCTGTCCAATATAACGCACTTTTAGAAGGCCTGGCACCTGCATTGACCACAAGGCAAATCTTTCAGCTCAGAATGCCAGAACAAATTTACAAGACCATGTAGCAATTTGCACATTCTTGAAGATCAATAAATCTTCACAGTACGAAGCATCTAATGTTGAATAGAAGAAGGAGCCCCTGATGTTAAATAGAAGAAGGAACACTCTCCATAAAACATTACCTTGGACAAAATCAGAGTTGCAAATATTAGAAATATATGGGTAGCACAATCTAATTCAATCTAGAAGCACAATGTACATGGTGGCCAAGAACCATAAATATACCTTTGACACAATTTGTAACAGTTATTGAACAGAAGCTGAAGCTCTCTGCATGATTTGTGGTTCTCCAGGTCCAAATTTTTACTGACACCTTTTCTTATCTTAGTTTTAAGAACTTCTTTCACTTCTGTTCACTAGCATATTATTATCATGCATGGTCTATCATCTACAACTACTCCCAACAATACTACATAGAGCCTGAATCCATGTGCTAATGGAGCTCTGGGATTAAAAATATTAAAAAGAACGAAAATCAAGTGGACGATCCGAAACTCCCCTTAAATATGGAGGGCCTGTGTGATAATAAGTCATATGTGATTACGAATCATGAAAGATAACGTGCAAACCACATTTATTAAGTTTTCAATCATGAAAGATCACTAAAATTAGATAGTTCTTTACCAGTACAATTTCTGTGAAAATTGTAACATATTGTGTATTTTGCAAATGGAGAACCCACTTCATGTGCTACAATTAGATACTTTAGATGAGAACCATTTAAGACAAAGGTTAAACAGAAAATCCTTCAATAAGACACTAGTCATGCAATCAAAGATTTACCCTGCAACACCTATAATCCACGAGAACAACACTAAGGAAAAGAGTTAGCCTAACTTATACCCATTTTTACAGAAGAAAAGATGTTAAGTTACTTTGTCATCAACACTTAGCTATTGATAAAGCAACAAAGAATCAGGACATAAACTAGCACCGATAAACATAAATCAAAATGATTTGGTTGGTTTAAAATAAACAAGGATTTCGATAATGTGAAAGGTACTGCAGAAACTTTACCTTGTATCTTACAGCCTCGTAAGTTCCATAAACAGCGCCTGCACACGAAAGCATAAATTAACAATTCATGACATATATACTTGCAGATTTACACAAAAAGCACCTAACCCCAAAAACAGATACTGCTAACTTTATCCCACAAAATGTATCAATAAAAAGATCACATCTTTTAAAACAAGACAGGAAATAGTCCTTTCTTTTATTTTGTTCAGCTGGGAAATTCTTACATGTCCAGTTTAGAGGCAGACCAGTAGATACCTATATCCCATGAATAATAACTTCTAATGTATATAAACAAATTTAAGAAAGAATCGTTTAATATAAATGATGCAATTCCAAAATAATTGAAAAGAAAAACCCAAACCACCTTTTGGAAAATCCATTTTTGATGCATCCAAGTTGCGTAGTTTAAAGATATAACTTTTTTTTCTGTCTAAAGACGATGGAAATTAAAAAAGATAAAATCTTTTCTTTGGGGGTTTAAATGGTAAACAGAAAGGGGCAAGACTTGGAGCTAGGGTTTAAGGCGAATTGAGAAACATTACCCACGGCGCCGCCGACTGCACCGCCAACGGCGAAGCCCGCCGTAATACGTGCTAGACAACTATCTCTCGTCATACCTTCTCCTCTCTTTACTGTTTCTCGTCCAATATAATCTATCTACAAATCTTAAACCCTTCTGTTTATTTCTCTCTCTAGCAAAAATTGTGATTCAGGTTACCACGCGGATGATATAAACTTCGTGAAAACTAGCAAATGCCGCAATAGGTTAATTTCTTAGGCGAAAAGAAATTGGGTGCAAACTATGGCCATGTTTCTTTATGAAATAATTCATTTCACACTCAAAATTTAACTCAAAATCTAACTCAATCATACTATTATTTATATTATTTATATAATTAAATATTATAAACCAATCATTCTTACATATCACATCAAGTTTAATTCACTATTCATCCACTCACATAATTTTAACTACCTATTATTTCCAATTATTTCCAATCATTTATATCATACTTTTACATCAAATCATTAATAATCATTTTATTTTAAATATTATTTTAATATATTATTAAAATTTCACTAACAATTAACCATACTATATTTTTCAAAATTAACTCTAGTTAACTAAAATAACTCATTTTGAATGAAATATTTCATAAACAAGCACGCCCATATTTTCAATCCCCTCCCCCTTATATATATTAATTCAGAACGCGTTGGGCCTATGTGGCAGGCTCGTATGCTTCGGGATCCTATGTGCCAAAATTACATGCTTCGTTATTAGGTTCGGATTATCTATAAATATGTTGATCAGGCTCGCATGCTTCGGGATTCTATGTTGCAAAATTACATGTTTCATTATTAGGTTCGGATTATTTATAAATATGTTGATTATTTATTATAGGGGTGGGCGCAGTCCGAAACGGTCCTGGATTTGACTTGTCCGGATACCGATCCCACTTTTATGAATCGGTTATGAACGGTCCGGGATGAGGCACTGTCCCCACTCATGTAATACATGGGTGTTGTACTAGTATGGTATTATTAAATAGTGTGTGTATGTGCTTAAATGGATGATAATTCCGTTGGTGAAATAGTTACCATAGACTTATTTTTTTTGAAAAAAAAAAATGATGGATATTTTGATGAAAATGGTGGAGAAGAAGAAAACACACTCTCAAAGATACTTATTTGTGAGAAAATTAAATTACGGCAATAAAACACAAATTCTTATATCAAATGGGTCAACCATTATGTGGGTCGACTAATCATATATTTTTAACAAAATATACATATATTTTATAAAATATCATATTTTTATTTATGTAGTTTTTACAATATGAAATTTCAGTTTAAATGTATGATTACTCAATCGTTACACCTTTTTAGAAAAATATAAAGTAGCAGAGAAAGAGTGGGTTTTATATACAACTATACTTTTTTGGGAGTATTCTTTCCGAAATTTTAAAAACTTTTTGAGATTTCAAAAATCTTGGTGTATTTAGTGTATAATTTAAGAAATCTTAACAAGTCATGAGGTATTCATTTAAGATTTTAATAAGTTATAAAAATTACGAGATATTCATTTGAGATTTCAAAAGGTTTAAAAAAGTCATAAGATATTTATTTTATGTATCAGCTGAATTTGTCTGGACTTTTCAAAATTTATTGAGATTTTGAAAACAAAATACAAATAGCAAATCTCACATCTAGGCATGAGATTTTTAAGGATTAATGTGAGTTCAATAAGTCTAAAAAAAATCACAAATTTAAAATACTAGTGATGCCATGGGTTGACATTTTTTATCTGAAAATTGAAAAATCGAATTGAATCGTACTGAATCAAACAAAATTGATTTTTTCGATAACCAAAACGGTTTCGGTTCGATTTCTGTTCAGGACTGATACGCCCAACGTTCACAGGAACACATGTGGTACGGTAAATACTGAACCGAACTGAAATCTTTTTTTTTTTCCTAGACCCATTTTTGTGTTTTTTTGTCCATACTTAATAAAAAATATAAAAAAAAAATTTGCAGCCCATTTAAATGATCCACTACCACAGTATATCTCACATGACAACTCCCAAAAAAAGTCTAGCATAAAACTCATACCTCTGTCTCCCTACAAACCATAAACAAATTCAGATAATATTTAGTAACTTTTTTTACCCAACAATAAAGGAACTTTTATTAATAACCAAAAAAAGTTGTTACAACCATCAAGCAAGTACCCAAAAGAAACAAAAACTATTGCAATTACCGTAACAAAAATATTTTGCACCCTCACAAGGGCTTTTTCAAAGTTTTTTCTCCACCTTCACATTCGGGCAGTTGAGGATGAATCCCGAAAGGGCGGTCACTCTCCTGACTCCGGTGGGAGAAACACAGGTCAGACCTCCTCTCGTACGGGATCTCAATGGTGGTCGCATTTAGGGCCCGGATTGGACACCTTCACCTGCCCATACCGCAAGAATTTGGCGATCGGTGTTTTTAGGGACGACAAACCAAAACCCAGGTCCAATGCGAATTTCAAGACATGCCATAATTAATCATATAAAATTTTGGCATTTACCAAAAATAACGGATACTGAACTGATTCTTCGGTTACTGATATTTCAATAACCGGAAGAAAATCAATTCGGTTTTGATTTTGGGGTATGGCATTACCGAAAACTGTTGGTTCGATATCGGTAAGTTCATATTGTTCGATACTACCCCTTTGCCAATTACTTCTTTAAAGGTTTTCCATAACCAAAATATCTATCTCATAAACGATATAACATAATTTGAAACTTTATATGAGACCTGCTCCTAACATTCCTTTAATATTATACATGAAATGTCTTGTTTTGGCTTTTCTTTCTTTTTTTCCTCCTTTCTAGTTGGGTTACACTCATTTTCACATGACTTGACTTCAAGCTCAACTCCATCTAATACTTGAAAAAAACTTACAACAATTTCAAGCACAACATAATGAAACACAAAAGTTTCACTCTACATGTATGCACAAGTAGCACATAAGCTCACATAAAGAAATCATACATAAAGTGACCAAGCTCGGTTTTTTAGGAGGAAACAGATAGATCTACTCGCTGTACAAATAATCAATAAATTAATGCACATGGAGTTGTCTAGTCTTTCGAGCGTGGATTCAATATAAATTTCACAAGCATTCCAAGGTAAAGACCAGGAGGTAAAGGGGTCTATCAGAACTCATATATTTTTTGTATTACTATATTCACTATCTTTACTATATTTGCTATGCTATCATTTTTTTCGGGTTGCTACTGCACTGCAATGCCACCAACCAAGAGCCCAATTGCGGTTGCAGCAATGTCGATGCCAGCAACGCCATCTGAATCAATTAATTATCCAAATTAAAAATAAAAATTAAACAAACTATTTCATATAAAGACAAGTTAAATAAAAATAGGCCAAATTAAACAAGGAACAAAATAACAAATGGAATTCAAGTTACCTTTGGTAATATTATCTTCAATTGCTTTCTTCAAGGTCAAGGCGTGCCTCCAATATGGGGCAACCTGTAGTAATCCAACTAAGTAGAGAGAGAGAGAGAGAGAGAGAGAGAGAGAGAGAGAGAGAGAGAGAGAGAGAGAGAGAGAGAGAGGTTTATACAATGAGAAAAAAATATCAGCAATTTTAATGAGATGGGAGAGAGAGAGAGAGAGAGAGTAATAGTAGTTTATATAATGAGAAAAACGTGTCAGCAATTTTAATGAGATAATTGGTTATTTAACAGATATATTAGTAAACTGTTAGTAGGAGAAATATATCATACAATAATGAAGTTTGACTATATGCTTGACCATAATATATCTAAGTGTTTGAATAAAATAGACGTTTTTCCAAATGAGTTAAGAAGAATTTTGCAATACTATTGATGTATTGGGCTTCAACAATTATAAATGTCTTTTATGATAATGTGAAATCCAAAATGAAAGAAAATCACTTTTGAATCATTTAATATAAATAAATAAAAGAACTAATGCATCTACAATATACATTAGATTCTTATTTAGTCATTTAGTGTTTTTATCTCAATAGGGATCCATTTTTCATATACTTTAGTTGGGGTTGTAATATGTTATTTTATTTTTTTTTTATATTAGGACATCATTATGTTATTTTTGAAAAAAAAAAAAAACATTAAGAGCTCATTTGTTTTACATTTTATTTCGTTTCTGTAATGATATGTTTAATAAATCAATTAGTTTATTTTATTAAACTTAATTGACAAAAAACATTTACCTCCATGTGCATTGCATGTACACCTTTTTAATGGACGAATCTATATCTATATCAATATACTGGAGCAACCCATTTTGTCAAAATTGGTTAACTTCTTTCCGCCTACATTTTTTGGATAAATTTGGAAATATTTTTTGCTAAGTCATTTTATATTCATTTGGTAAGTCATTGTATATTTACACATAATATATTCATTTTTTTAGCATATTCATGCATGATACATTGGTAGAATCAATAAAGCATATATAGTCAGAGATTCGGGATTAATCTTTATTTGCTAATATATTGGCATATTCACGCAAGATATTCTTAACTTATATAGAGATGGTAATATGCTTATTTTTAAATCAGACCAATTTAACTAACAATATTAATTAATAATCCATATATTAGTAAGTCATACAAGCCTATATCTTTGATATTCACGGATCATTTACCAATTATAAATTTGGTATGATTTCATAGATTCATGATATTAGTTAGTTAATATCCATATAACATTATTAATATCCACCTCTTATAATTGGTTTGACCTTGATTTTGGAAATGATTGAAGTGCATATAAGCTAAAAATTATTTATTAATTAATATAAACATATTATCATTTTTACGTGTGATGTGATTATATAATAATGAATAAGATTAATACTACGATAAAAAATCAGAAGACATATTTTACACGTATTCAACAAAATTTCAAAAAAATGGCTCCCCTCTTTGTGCTGATAAAAAATTTGACGGACTTATTGCCATAACAGGCGTTGAAACTTCGTCTAATTAGGATGTACGAAAGGACTACAACCCATGGAGAAAATGTGATTAACTTTATTGACTGCATTTTCATAATCCCAAGGTGAGTTTATTGTCCAATATTAGTTTATATAATGTGCTATTCAATAACTTTATAACGCCTTTAATTCTTTTACATTTCTATGACGTGTTAATCTTATTAAGGCTCCTCGAGAAGTGGTTCGTCCATTGAACATAATATTATTGTTCTAAATATGTATTAATAAATAACAATACCATGGTCTTTTTTAGACTTTGATCTGCTACTGGTCTTTTTATTAATTGTAGTTCACAAATTTAATTGTCTGGTCAAATTATTGAATTTTTTGCACTAAAAATTGAAAATTTGAGAAAAAATTCAAACACCCACAACATGTCTATCTTGCAGGAACGCAAGCATTCACATTGTATATAGATATACTTATTACTAATCTGTGTTGATAATGATTATTGCTAATAGCTATTGAAAAAGATTGGTTTGTAAAATGAAGTTTTCATCCATAAATTCTTGATTTTCACAACATAATCTGAGTAAAATTGTCTGCAACTCAAATTGCATATTCGGTAATAATAATAACCATTTAAATTGAATGAAGTTATATCATTCACTGTCATTGAGACCACTCTGCTCCTAGTGTTTGGCTTTGGTTAAAGGAGTTGCAGTAAAGGCAGGTGAAGAGCTGAATGTCTGATCCTCTACACTGAGTTGCAGAGGTTCAAAAGGGGACTCAGTACTGAGACAATTCAGGTGAATCCTAGAGCAAGCTGTAAAAGAAAAATAGTAGGATGTGGTATGTTAAGTTTCAAGCAGAGATGTGGCTACTATTTTTAACAGAATATCTTTGCAGGTTGAGGGTGGTTGTGTCTTAGTTCAAGACATTGTGTGCTTATCTTTGTTATTGAGACCTTGTGTGTTTTTCTTTTCTTCTTAGTTTGTTGTTGTTTTCTTTTTTGGCCGCCTCGATCTTTGGTAGGGGCTGATTCTGTTCATGTCCCGTGGTTCCCTGTTATCTTCTTTATGTAATATGGAACTTGTAATCTCTTGGTTACCAGACTGTACATTGGTTTGAGTTTTAATTTTAGTTATTATTGTTCGAAAAAAAAAATGTTATTCACAAAAAATTGTTCTATGCCATTAAGGTTATTTGAAAAAAGTTTTTCAACTGCAGCTTTAATGGTTTATTCTAGCAATAATAACCATTTCGTATTTGTATGAAAAAATTACTAACATGCGACATCAATATGAAATACAAAATACATGTGGATGCTTCTTCCTTATATTTTAACAAGAACTACAAATTCATTTAGAAATATTTTGCTAACCCTCTACATCTTGCTTATGTGTTCATAGGGATACTGGATTCAAGGTACCATTAAACAAAAGGATAGAGATATCAAAAAGAATCTTGTGGATATTTTCCAATCAATGAAAAGCTCTATTTTGTGCTATCAGACGCGTAAGCAGTGGTCTTTGCTTAAAACTATAAGTTTGTAAATTCATGGTGACTAGTCATACCATCAATCTATTTATAATGAAATGTTTAATAATATTGAAATAGATTTCATTTTCAAAAACATAAATTTTCATTAATTATTAACTTACTACAATAATTTTCATTGAACCATATGTTCCGAGCGCCACATGAGTTTAACACTAGTAGAATGAAATAAGAAAAACTTGGAAATGACAGAAAAAAAAGGAGGAAGTAATTTTCAATACTCTATAGTTTATAAAGTTAATATTAATATGACCGACATGTTTTATTCAGTACATTATAGTAACATGAATAATATATTTTCAATAATACAGCTTGGGTTTTAGTCATAGAAAATGACAAAATGTAATTAAAGCTCAGAATGCTATTGGCTGTTAGTTATGAGTTAGCCTACAGGTGTAACAAAACCTCAACAACTCATTGGCTGGCCAGGCTGCAAAATTGAGAAATAAAAAAAGAAAGACAAAAAAGAAACAAAAACAGAGCATGATTGCGAATGATCAGGCAAAAGACTATTGATGATTGGAAAAATTCCCAATTTTCCATGAAGAAGAGAAAGAAACCAACATCAAATCAACGTTAGATACAGAGATTGTGCACTACAATACTATCATGGCGTTCTCTAAAGACAATCTCAAAGGATTCACTTTGGCTCTCATTTCAAGTGGGTTTATTGGGGCGAGCTTCATTATCAAGAAGAAAGGCCTCAGACGAGCTGCAGCCGCCTCCGGTGTTAGGGCTGGTCAGAATCTTTACATGCTTTTCGATTGTGTCAAGATTCTTATGCATTTGACTAATGTTAGTGTTATATGTTAATCAGATTAAAAACTTTTGCATATATATGATCGAAGGGTTTTGTTGGATTGACTTTTTAGGTGTTGGAGGGTATGCATATCTGATGGAGCCCCTGTGGTGGCTTGGGATGATCACCAGTGTGTAATTTTATTCCCCTATCTTTTCTGTTGAAGTTCTTTATTATTTTCTAGCACTCCTTATCAAGAATGTTTTTGTTCTTAGGTATTCAATTTGGCAGTTTTATGGCATTTTATTTCGTCCTGTTGGAAAACTTGTCTTCTGTACTGGGGAAATAGTGGCACTAGCTAGATAGTATGTTAACAATCATATGTGTGTGTATACGTCATAAGGGCCAAGCTTGATGAACACCCCCAAGAGTATTGTTTTAGGAGGCCCTAATCTTATGCAGTTAACAATTTGTTATTGGGAAAATGATTTTAAATGCTATCTCAACACTCATCTTTTTGGAATTCGTTTCGTTAATTTGTCGGACAATCGATAAAGTTGCATAAAAAGAAATCTGACTTATTACGGGTAGATCCATATGTTGAAGTAGGTATTTTGTACAATTTATGCTTTTCACTAGCATTTGTATAATTTTTTCAGACTGATTTCGAACAAACTCAGAATTTTCCACTCTAATTACATGTTGAAGCTTATTGACATCCTTTATGCAGTGATCATTGGAGAAGTTGCAAACTTCGTGGCATATGCATTTGCCCCAGCAGTTCTTGTCACACCTCTTGGCGCCTTGAGTATTATTGTCAGGTGAATTTATTTCAGTATATAATTTTATACTTTCTTCTATTCGTGCAATCTAATAAGTAACATGGTATTCTGTAGCGCTGTATTGGCACACTTTATCTTAAATGAGAAGCTGCATCTACTCGGAATGTTGGGATGTGTAATGTGCATTGCTGGTTCAATCATAATTGTAATACACGCGCCACAAGAGCAGCCAATCTCGTCTGTACAAGAAATATGGACTATGGCTACACAACCGCGTAAATAAATTTCATCATATTTGTCTTCCCAGAGCTGAATTTTTTCCTTTATTCAATGTTTTCTGTCTAATGCAATTTTTTGTGCTAAATTTCAGCCTTTCTTCTCTATGTGGGGTCTGTAGTGATTTTGGTGTTCATTCTTATCATTCATTTTGCGCCACAGAATGGGCACACCAACGTGCTTGTATTCACCGGGATTTGTTCACTGATGGGTTCTCTCTCGGTAAATTCCAAATTGCTTATAATATGAGTTCACAAATCTTTCTAGCTTCTGTAGAACATACCTTAAATATTAAACATTTAGACAGCTGCAAAGCTTTTCTATCATATTGTTGGTTGAAGTTTTCAATCGAATTTTGTTAGAATTTATGGCCAAAACATCCAATGCACAACTTTCTTATGTATTGCTATGAAATTTGTCATCTCCATTGCCCGCAATAATAATTTTCCTGAAAAAGTTGTTTCATGTTCTGATGGTGTGAGTTTTTACTTGTACGAATCCTTTATTACTTAAATATTTTTAATTGACCTACTTAGATATAAACTAATTGATGAATTTTGAATCACCCGTTACTTGCCTTGCAATATGAGCACTTTGTCTGTTTTGCAGGTTATGAGTGTTAAAGCCCTCGGAACTTCTCTTAAATTGACCTTTGAGGGGAATAACCAATTAATCTACCCGGAGACCTGGTTTTTTATGCTTGTTGTGGCGACTTGTGTTATTATGCAAATGAATTACCTAAACAAGGTTAGTAGAAATTTTAGACTACTGATTTACCATGATAGACTTATCTGTGGTTGCAACTAGTAGAGATCTGAGATTTTGCTTTTAGATTCCACATAAACTGATTAAAATTAAAAGTTCTAGAGAAATGTATGCAATACCTAGTTCTCCATATGCATTTTACTTATATCCATTTGAATATATATCTTTTTCTATAATTATTAGAGTATTCTGTGGTTACTGTCCAATCTATGCTTGTTTTGATCATCAACCATGAAATTCTATTAGTTTTCGGTGGGACTAGACATGCTACAAACTGAAGTACAATAATGCAATTATGAGAAAGATATAAAAAGGATTCCCCGCAGTCCAATTAGTAAATGCAAACATGGTTTGATGTTTATTGAGCTGGTGAAAACAAGCATCTTGTAGTATTTTATATCACACATTAGGAAGCAGAAAACTTTCAGTTTGTTGTAGAATCTAAATACTAAAAGACACTCTTTGCATGACAAATTGAAGATGAAGTTTTGAAACAACACATTGTGCAACTTCTGAGTCTTTTTTTTTTCTCTCTCTCTCTCTGTCTCTCTCTCTACAACTATCATCGATTATATATCAGAATTTTCTTTTTTTGGGCCAGAGAATGGAAGTCAATGGTTGTCAACTATTTCATTTGCCTTTTTGACAACTAAGTTATATGTCCATTTATTACAGGCACTCGACACGTTCAACACAGCAATTGTTTCCCCTATATACTATGTCCTGTTTACATCACTCACAATACTTGCCAGTGTTATCATGTTTAAGGTAACATACTTTTAAATTCACATTTTGCAACAGTGCTTGTTGAACTAAAACTATTTACTCTCAGATGGCACTAAACAATCTCAAACCGCAATAATAAATTTCCTTATATTTCGTATCGTGATTTTCACTTAACCTAGTAATTAAAAGTGTGATGGCTATTATTTTGGTGCTAAAAGCATTTAATTTATATAGGATTGGGAGGGTCAAAATGCTAGTAGCATTATTTCAGAAATATGTGCCTTTATTGTAGTGCTTTCTGGGACAATCTTGTTGCACTCGACCAAGGATTTTGAGAGGAGTTCCTCTTTTAGAGGTCAGTTCTAGTTTGCAATATGTTTGAACCATCTCTCACCCATATGTATTTGAATTTTTATAATTAAAAATGCTTGTTTTGAAATTTAGGTAATTATACCCCATTATCCCCTACATTATCAAGCCGGTTATGTAGTGGGAATGGGGATTTGGCTGAAAATAATGAACAAAACGAGCCATGAACCTTTCAAGCCTTCGTCAAAGAAGTCAAAAGAAGCTCTAATAATGGATGACTATCCATGATGGAAAATTACCTACTTTTTGAAGTGACGAGGCCAATGTGAACATCGAAAAGAATACTTGATCTTGATTCGTGGCTCCACAATGCATATAGTTTGTATATGCTTGTATTCATGAATGTTATGTTCATACCATACATCTCAGCTTAAGTTCTTACGTGTGGTCACTCATCAAATTTTTGCCTTTCTTACGAGATGGTGATGATGATGATCATGAGACGAAGATATGGAAAAGAAATTCAGGCTTGCAGCTCGAGCTTATTAATGTAAAGTTTATTTATTTATTTATTTATTTTTCCTTTTCTGTTGTGGATTTTATGTTGCGTAGCTGCAAAAAAGGTTTTCTCATAGGTTTTTTGGTGTAGTGATTGCTGTGGTAATTCTTTTCCCAGAATTTACAGGATTTCAAAGGTTCCACTTTTTCTACTCTTATGAGAATGGATGAGATAAAATTTGGTTTTCTTTCTTATCTGTATAGTTTTATTATGTCTTCCTCTTTCACGTCGTTCGTGTTTCTGTTGGTTCATTTACTTATCCAAAACAATGGTGGGAGCTGCACATTAAAGAAGCAAGCTTTGAAAAGCGTCGCATAAATAGTATATAAAAAAAACAAATTAATATATATTTCTAGACTTAAGCTTGCTTCGACGTGCAATTTATTGTCGTAAGTTTTATTCATAATTTATACGGTGTATCCGTGACTCGTTTAAGAAATTAACGTTTCACATCAATTTATCCACCCCAGTTTAATCGTCCCTCGTTCTCTTTCCTTCTGCAAAACGACCTACAAAGGAAGCACAGTTTTACAATTTATAATCCAGAGAAACATGACATGACTGGCAAGTTGAGTATATGAATATAATACTTGGTTATTTGGAACTCCATGGCACCCTGTGCTGCGCGTCTAAGAAGCTTTTCCCTTGCCTCAACTGCAATTCCTTCTGGCTGCAATTGTAAAACAACTAAATATTTTCTATTGGACAAATTAATGAATATATGTGCACGTAATATAAAATTTAATACCTCTTCAGGATACCAAACTCCAGGCTTTGTGCTTCCCTCAAGAACAGCCAGAACAAATGCAGCAGTTGCAGTCCCAGCAGCTCTATAAACACATCATTTTTTTTTTTATTTATCTTGTTTTTTTAATCAATTTACGTAAATCTTGGACGAGCTTTGCTTAATTAACTGTTCCTAGTCATTGCGGCCGAAAATTGTTATGAACTCAATAAATGGTGAACACTTACTCGGCTAGTCTTTGGTGGCTAAAAATTGCCGATGTATTATATCCATCCGAACACTCTAAATCGACCTAAAAGATCAAAATAAGGCAAGGCCATATTATAACATTCTTCAATATCTGTATGGATTAATTCAGAAACTATAATGCGCGCTTCAGTTGCAAACTTACTCTTATTGCAGCTTTCTCCCCTGATATTACATCCACCGCACGAATAAATGGGTACGAAAATTTCGACAAGAATTGAACTATTCGCCTGTCCTTCAAAATCTCCTTCAGATTGAGATCAAAAGAGAACAACAAGTCGTTAAGTAAAACATTTTTTCTCTATTCAACACAATGTGCATTGCAGCTTCCAAGTTTTAAGCCATGCATGATTATTATATATAAGTATATATTATAATTATCATTATTATCAGTGTAAGCGTGATTAATTAATTTGCAGATGGCTTACAACAGGCAAGAGTTTCATAATGGCCAAAAGTGTCCAATTCCAAAAGAAGGGCGCTGTCCCGAATCGTGCATCGATAGTTGGTACTCCAAATACTCGACGTGCGCTAGCCACTTCCGGAACATTCCTAGCAAAACAATTTATTTGTTCATTTTTTTTTTTTTTGACATATATATAGGTTGTGTTGAAAAGGTGAAAAGGTGCATAGAGAATGATATATACAATAGAAAAACATCTCTTTCGCCAATCCCTTCTCCAAAGCTAACACTACGCTTATCGCTGTACGGCTTCAATTTCTTTTCCTCTCCTGAAAACAAAAAAAGATTAATTATATAAGAAAAATGGATCAATATTAAAGAGAATGCAATAACTATATAATTAGGAAGACCTTGATAGTACGTAACAGCCTCATCTGCAAGAAGATAAAAGGTAGTCGATAGAACCCCGGGACCCGTTCCCCCGCTGCCACTAGTGAAATAGTTGTACCTTTGGGTACAACATTATATAGCTAGGTCGTAAAATTAAACACAAGCACAAACCAAAAGGGAAAGGAGTAGAATGTAA